ACTTTGTCTTCACAACAGCATTTGGTTTTCCTCAGAGTTCATGATCTGAGAGTGCAAGGCAGAAGTCTCAGTGCCTTATTTTTGATTCACTCTTGGAAGTCACACACCACTGTTCCTGCACCACCACCACCCCACCACCCCCCTCCCCATCCCCGCCCAGTGGCCACACAAGTCAACCCTGTTCAGTGCATAGGGCAAGGTATGGGGCGGGTAGTGCAGAGCTCCATGTTCTGCACTGCACCACCTCTTTTACACCTGTGTGTTCACTCACCTGGAAAGCATCCTGAAAAACCCACTGCTGAGGCTTTTTTTGTGTGTGTGGGGTCTCAGTACATGGGTTTGATTGATTAAGTCATTGTTCATTGGTGATTGAACTCAGTCTCCAGGCCCCACCTGTCCCCAAAGGTCTGGCTGAAATGACCAACCTGTTAAGCAGGGCCAGCCTTCCCTTGAAACTCTCTTGAGTCACGTCATTAGCATAAACTAGCATGGCTTACAGAAGTTCATTGTGCATATCAAAATGTAACATGACGCAGTGAGTTCTCCTCTTGGGGTGGGATGCCAATAAGCATACCTGAAGATAAAATCAAGGAGAAGAGTTTATAACCTGCAGCAGGTAAGGAGAGTACTGGCTTTAATTCCAGAGCAGTGCCCTCCTCCAACAAATGAAGCTTGGGATTTTTGCAGGGAGCCCATGCATATTCTTATCAGAATGCACTTTGGAGACAGGCACATTCCCCAGCATGGCATGCTTAGCTCCAGGTCAAGGAGCATGTTTGAAAGGTGAAAATGGCTGATGGGAACACTTCTGTTGGTCATAAGGATGGTGGATAAGGAATACTTCTGGGCACACTTAGCTCATTTTTCCTAAAAAAGATTTTAGCTAAAACCAAAGGAAAGGACATTTCAAAGGTACAGTAATATAGGAGTTTGCCCCTAAGGTTGCCTGCCTTTTCTAAAAGACTCATCCAGGAAATTTCAAGGTGTTTAGGAGCTCAGGGCGAAGGGTTGGGGACAAAGAGCAATACAGATGAGTGTGTGCACGCACACACACACACTGTAATGAACACAGAAGAAATTTTATATTGCAATCATGCATTAGTTTTATTTTGGTTATTTATTTATTTACTTATTTTAGTCATGAAACTAGTCCATACTCATTGCGGAGGACTGGAGTAGGAGGAAAATATAAAGAAAATAAAACCCTGGGCATCCTTAGTGCCCGGTATTCTTTCCTAGTCCTTTTTATATAGTTATATATAACACTTGCCCTTTCTTTTTTCATTACAGAAGCAGCATTTGCTTATTGCAAAGCAATCCAAAGAGTACAGAATATCTGAAGTTATTATTTTTTAAAATGATGCTTGCTTGGGAGGAACCTTCTGTTGTAGACTAAGAGGGAAGATGGAAGGGGTCTGGGGACAGCAGGGCAGACAATGTGACAGTGGGGCGTGGAGGGAGAATTAAACTGTTGAGGTTAATTTTAAGTTCTGGGTCAAGATTCACTTCTTAAGAACAGCACTTTTCTGGGATCAAAGGCAGTTTGTTGGGTGGGAGAAAAATTAAGGAGATTATTTCATACACAGGTACAGCTGAAGATGTGTAAAGTATAATCCCCATCGTTACTTGTCAGGGTTATTTATAACTTGCTTCCAGCCTGGACAAGTTGTCTTAACCCTGGTGCCCTGTGTCATTCAGGCCACTTAACACTGTTTACCTTTGTGTGTGTGTTGGGGGGATTTGGGGGAGGAGTTGCGTAAGATCCACTGGCCAATTGCTTTTGAAGATCTGTAAAGAGAATGCACCAGTGGCTCACGCCTGTAATCCTAGCTACTCCGGAGGCAGAGATCAAAAGGATCTCAGTTCGAAGCCAATCTGGGCAAATAGTTCAAGAGATCCTATCTTGAAAATACCCAACACAAAACAGGGCTGAGTAAGTGGTTCAAGTGGTAGAGCACCTGCCTAGCAAGCATGGGGCTATGAGTTCAAACCCCAGTACCTCCAAAAAAAAGAAAAAGAAAAACGAGAGAGAATGCACCCTGGTTAAACTCATTTTGTACTATAGTGGGCAGTATCTGGTGGGGTTCCACTGCTTTTTTTGGAAGGTGAAAGATAAGCTGAGAATGAAACTTTCTTGACCGAATAATTGTAGACCCTTTAAAAGAGAAGAGCTTCAAGGTGTTGAGCCTTTGTTAGGATGTGTTCTTTCTTTTGAGCTCCTGGCTGGCACCATGTAGATAGAGCCATCTTAATGCAACAATTCTTCATCTTGGTCTGCACCTGGCTACAATCACCTGGGAGCTTTTAAAAGTCCCAATGCCAAACTGGCATCCTCTGTGAGGGGGAGGTGTCCAGGCATTGTTATTTCCTAAAGCTCCCCCTCCCCCAGTGCTCCTGTGGCACCAGGATTGAGATGTAGTTCTTAGGGAGGATGCTGGGTGTCTTACTTGCCACCAGCCTTCTTTGCAACAAATGGGGCATGGTTGTCCCTGTGCTGACTGAATGCTGAAGTGCAGAGGAAATGTGAATGTTATGATTGTAGTTAAATTGTTTTCAAAGTGTTCTGCATTTCAGGAGTACTGCAAACATTTGATTCAACTGTCACAATGTGTGTGTATGTGTGTGTGTATTTAAATTGTCATAAAAAGAGTACACAGAACTAGTGTTATCCGCCAAATTAGAACATACTGAAAATTACTAATGAGTTGTCTTTTCCATGACTTTAAATATAGTAATGAATATCATCAACCAGATTGTGTTAGACTCACAGGCCACGGTGTTCTGTTGATGTATCCCCTCCCCCTGCCCTTTCGATTATTTTTCTGCTTCTGCTGCAAGCCAGGATGGGGTTCTGTGTAAGACTTTGGCAGAAAAGTTTCTGCATAAATAAAGGTCTGTAAGCCGCGGGTCTTTTGAGGTTTGTTATCTTGTAGGTTAGATCAGCTTACTTTGAGGTACAACCTTTCCCTGGACTGGGCTGGGGTGGGTGGGGTGACTCCCACTAGGATTTGAGCTGTGGGCCTGTTAAACCAGGTAGATCTGCTTCAGACAGATGTATGCTGGACCAGACTCCCTTGTCTTGGGGTCAGAAAAGAAGGCTTGGGGTACAGCTGTGGGTGGAGGTAGGCAGCCTAGAGATAGTCATTGTCAGGAAACCAATGAAATGTCATTGAGCAGGGAGTGACCAAGGCCTGTCCTCTGAGGACCAGACCACAGAATGTCCAGCCAGTTTGGGTCTCAGACGCTTTTTATGGAGCACTAATTATGAGCTAGCTCTGTGCTAGTTCATGATGTTTTATAGACATTATCTTGTGTCTTTTCCATAACTCCAGGAAGCACAAGTTATTCCCGTCTTGCATAAGAGGAAACCAAGGCTTGGAGATACTCGTTGACTTATCCAACAAGGTCACAGCTAATAAGTGACGAAGTCAGGATTGGAACACATGCAAGTTCTCTCCAAAGCTGCTGTAGGGATTATTTTATAGATTAGGAGATCTTGGTCTGGAGAGGAAACGCAACATGTTCGAGATGACACAGCCAGTTGTGGTCTGACGCATGGTTGCGTCTAAGACTAGAACTCACATGCTTGTAGTACATGGCTGTGCCTGGTCTTCTGCTGCACCTGCTGCTGCTAACGGGAACCACAAAGTGATGCACCTCCTCCCACCTTGGAGTGGCTCAGACACAGTCAGTGTTACACTGGTACATTAGTTCGTTTTCCATTTCCGTAACAAATTACTTGAGACAGTGTACTTTATTTTAAGGAGGTTTATTTAGCTCATAGTTTTAGAGGCTAAAATTCCAAGATGGTTGGCTCCATATTTCTGCCTCTGGTGAGGGCCCACCTGACTGTGTCACAGCATGGTGGCATTGTGGTGGAACATGTACAGGAGGAAGGGATCACATGGTGAGCCAGGGAGTGACACTGTGGAGGGGCTGTTCTTGCTCTTTTTATAACAATGCACCCTTTTGGAAGGTAACTCACTTCAGATGTCAGTATTAATCTCTTTCCTAGGCCCTACCCCTTAAAGGCTCCACCACCTCTCACATAGCCACACGGAGGCTTGAGCTTCCAACATGGAAGGAACCCTCGGGGAACACGCTTAAACCAGGCTCAAATAGCAGCAGTTGACATGGAATGAGAAATTAAACTAACTACATTTTATGTTCGTCCCACAAGGGGTGCCATGTGCAGAACACAGAGGAGGTACAGAGAAGTGTCCTTGGAGAACCAGATGTCAGCCGGAAGGTGGGGACATAGGTGAATCAGAGCCCAGAGCTCCCAGTGGCCAGGCTGTCCCTGCTGGTACTGTCCAGTTCCCTACTTTGTCACTTGAGAACCTGGTCAGCTTGGATCTGCCTTTCCCATTCCTCTTTGCCTGTGCTCAGCTTATGCTAGCCTCAGCTCACTCGCAGAAGCTCTGCTCTGCTTCCATTTGCAGAGGGAAGGGGAACATGGAATGCCCCTGGGCATGGAGCTGGGGAGGGGTTACCATTAGAAAATGAAGAGTGCAGCCCCCAAATAAGGGCCTGACGCCTCTCTCTGGCCATTCCTCTAAGGAAGGAATGTTTATTTCAGCCAGAGGGCAAGACAGTTGCTTTTATGTGTTTTCATCTGAATTTGTGCCAAGGATTCAACTTTTTCTGTTCATTTTATTAAAAACTTTGTAAACAGCATTAATAAATAGATATAAAACTGCCACATAAATGACAAGCAGAGGAACTAAAATGAAATTCACAAGGGTCAGCCATGGAGTAAGTAAGGAAACCATGTCCTTGTGCGATCAAATTCCCATATATGCAAAGGAGACAGTGCTGTACCACAGAGTGTTTTAATTAAAATTTATAAATCACAGAGTGCCTCTGAAAGGGCTAGTAAGCTATTTATATTATTGTCATGTCACACAAATAACAGAGCCTCTGGAGCTCATCACTGCCCGTTTTGCATTTACTCTGAGAAGTAAGCCTGTCCTGTGTGTCTGTCTCCCTCCCCAGGTGTGGTGTCAGCGCAGCGGCAGGTCACCGTCCAGGAAGGACCCTTGTACCGCACAGAGGGCTCCCACATTACCATCTGGTGCAACGTGAGTGGCTACCAGGGACCCTCTGAGCAGAACTTCCAGTGGTCCATTTACCTGCCCTCGGCCCCAGAGCGCGAGGTGCAGATCGTCAGCACAATGGATTCCTCCTTCCCTTACGCCATCTACACCCAGCGTGTCCGAGGTGGGAAGATCCACGTGGAGAGGATCCAGGGGAACTCAGCCTTACTGCACATCACGGATCTCCAGGCCCGGGACGCTGGGGAGTATGAATGTCACACGCCCAACACCGACAAGCAATACTTCGGGAGTTACAGTGCAAAGATGAACCTAGTCGGTAAGGAGACACCGTTTTTGCTTGGCCAGTGTCAGGCTTGAGTCACTTCAGTTTCATACCGTGCATTTGACTTTGCATGGAAAAAAAAACACCAAGACTCTCCAAAGATTTTAAAACATAGCAGGGAGCAGGAGGGAACAAAATATCTAGGTTCACTTGTGAAAAGTAGAAAAGATCTAAAGAAAGTGTTAAGGTTGGGCTAGTGGAGTGGCTTGAATGACAGAGCGCCTGCCTCATAGCCCTGAGTTCAAACCCCAGTATTGCCCCCAAAAAAAGAAAAGAAAAAAACTTTCAGAGGTTAACTTTCTAGGTGATTTAGGGATTTAGGGGATTTGAAAATACAAGGCCAGGGTGTGTTTGGGTGGTGATCTGGAAAAATGACCTGGAAGATAAAGTGTATGACATCAGCTGTAGGGGGTAAGGTAGAAGGTCTCCCCCCACCAAAAATGCTGGAATTCAATGGTAATAGATTAATGAGAGAATTGTTACCCAAATGTGTTAATGTCCGTGGGAACATGCTACGGGCATAGGAGAGAGGGAGACAGGAATGAGACTGCTGTGAGGGTCCATAAGTGATTTCACGCTGGTGACAATCATAGTAAATGGTTCTCTTTGGGACTTGAATGGGCTGGGAGAGGGACAATAGCTTGTGACAGAATCTGTCCAGGTGTGGTTACAGTCTTTAATCTTCCTCCCTATAGATAGGAGTTTAGTTAATGAAAACCCAAGCCAGGGACCAAAGGTAATTGCTTTCCTCCCGGGCAGGTTTGGTCTTTGGCAGACCAGGCAATGTCAGAGCATAGTCTCTTCTGGCATCTGTTGCTATCCAAAGGCCTCATTTAAAATAAGCAGCATTCAGGGTGCCCTATATTGGGGTGAAATTTCCTGGACTCCATTGTCCCCTTGAGAGGACGGCCTTTGGACAGGCTCTGAATGCATGGGCCTGCTGAGTCAGGAGAGTGTGGCCGCAGCCCTTGCTCAGACCTCCCCTGCTGGGTGTAAGAACTTGTGAGCCACCAGTCTCCCCTGACACCCCCTGAATGCTGGAGGGGGCATGAGGAAGAGGAGCGGGGAACTCTTCAGTGGGGATGGCCCTGGCCACTGTGGTGCCAATGTGAAAGGGTTTACAATATCAGGGTTGTTCTGTTTTCCTACGCAAGTCTTAATTTCTAGTTTTTATTATTACAATTAAGCAGGGAGTGTTGATAGTCCTTTTATTAACAAAACACTGACCTCGCTTATTTTTTCCTTTCTCTAATAAGTCTGTAGGAGTATGTTAAGAGCCAGAGAGAAAACATTACCCAGTCCTGGTTATAACTGGGGTGCCCTCATCAGACCTGGGGAAAGTTTGGCCTCCAGAAAGACATAAGGGTCAGGGTAAAATTCCAACCACAAGATTGCAGGGCAGTGTCTTTGCTTATCTGAGTCATCCCCATGCTATGCCTGTGGCTTCCTTCCAGTGTGGACCACTTTGATAAATTATGTGAAAATTAAGTTATTAAAAATAGAGGAGGAGGAGGATTTTCTGTACCAAAAAAATACAAAAAAAAAAAAAAAAAAAAGCCTTCCAAGCTGGATATCGTGGTGCTGCTTATAATCCCAGCACTGGTAGAATTGTGAGTTTGAGGCCAGCCTGGGCTATATAGTGAGACCCTGCTTCAAAAAACAAATAAACCAACCAACCAACCAACCAACCAAGGCACAGCATTGCAGAAACAAATTAGGGAATGGAAGGAGAGGAGGCGGAGGGGAGGGGAGCATGGGGACACTGTACAGAATGTAAAACTGGAAGTTCTAGGAGCCTTTGCCACCTGAAGGTCATTCCGAGTGAATAAAAGTATCTTGGAGCAATACCACGAGCAATAATAAATCTTAGATCTAAAAGAAAATGATTTTTACATGGTATTTTCAGGGAGTTCATTTATGTTAAACTTTGAAAATACAACCTATGTTTGATCTGAGTGCTATTAAAATTCCAAACAACTAAATGTAAATACCAAAAAAACCCCAAAAACAAGCATTCTTTTACATAGCACAACAGAAAACTGTTTCTGCGTGTGTGCCTTTTGGGGTAGTCTGTGGCCTCGAGTGGCTCCTAAGAGGCTGGCTCTGTTGGGGACACGGTGGCAGTAGTGCCTGCATAAAGTGCAAATCCTGTCCCTGGTGAGGGGAAGCTCAGACTCTGTGGCTCTGTAACCGTGCACTATTGGGACATTCTGTATTACAGTGATCCCAGACACCCTTCAGACCACCGCCATGCCCCAGACACTGCACAAAGTGGAACAGGACCCACTGGAGCTCAGTTGCGAAGTGTCCTCAGAGACAGTCCAGCACAGCCACCTGTCTGTGACCTGGCTGCGGCAGAAAGGTGGCGAGAAGCCAGTGGAGGTCATTTCTCTGAGCCGAGACTTCGTGCTGCACTCCAGCAGCGAATACGCGCAGAGGCAGAGCCTGGGGGAGGTGCGCCTGGACAAGCTGGGGAGGACCACCTTCCGCCTCACCATCTTCCATCTGCAGCCTTCCGACCAGGGCGAGTTCTACTGCGAAGCTGCTGAGTGGATCCAGGATCCAGATGGCTCGTGGTATGCCATGACCCGGAAGCGCTCCGAGGGTGCTGTGGTCAACATCCAGCCTACGGGTCAGTCTCTCTTGAGCCTCCTGTCCCTGTGTTTCACTGGTAGGAGGGTGTGAGGTGCCTTTTTTGGTGTCCATGTGAAGTTAGAGCTGGTCCTGCCTGTGACCAGAGGACACTGAGGACCTATGTACGGAACATAGGTCTGTCTCCTAGACCTGACCTTTCAGGGTCACAGACAGGTACTGCCCAGACTGAATCCTGTTTATTGTCTTGTTTTTATTATCTAGTGTTGTACATTTTTTTTTCAGACAAGAGATTCATTAAAAAACTTGAGACATTTCACAGAAAGCATTGGTAGTTGTATGGCTCTGGTCCATTCCTGCTAGCCACTGTCACTTCTCTGTTTGATGATGTCATTGCCTTCCTCAGGTGCCAACCTGGTTTCATTTGTAGAAGACATTAGAACTTATGAGCCTTCCATGAGAGGTGGTGGAATTTTGAACTATACAGTTTGACTTACATCATTTTTATATTAATATTTCTTTAGTATCTTATCATTTTCAAGATGCTTCATTCCCATATTGCCACAGTCCCTCAGACTTTCTGTGAGGTGAGTGGGGGTGGCCTTCCCAGTTCATAGGTGAACATGCTAAATGCTGAGTATCCTCTGGTGGGGCTCCAGGAACAGTAGGGTGTGTGTTAAAGAGGCCACTCTAGAAAGTTCCAGGTCCTACCATAGATGTTTGCTCAAGGGAAGACCTGGGTAAGGTCCCTGAGGAGATTAGGGGATTTGTGTAGGGCTGGAGCAATGATGATGACCTGGCAAGCTGCAGTCCCTCCTGGCCTCTTTTGGTGTCTCCCATGACCCCAGACTCTACTCACGACTCCTGAGCCTGTCAGGCTTCGAATCAGAGCTGACAGTTGCTACTGACTGCCCTCTGCTGGGCTGGTGGCCAGTGTTCGTGTGGGAACTTGGTTACCTGGCTTTGGCTGGAAGATGGTCACTGAGGTACACTGAGTGCTGGCGAGCCATTGTGCTGTTGGTCCTCTCTGGTGAGGCCTGTGGAGGAGAGGGGAAGAATAGGGTGGGAGGGAGCCTCTGGCTATCTAGTGGATGTGAGAACTTTTTCCAGAGGTTTGGTTCCTGGGCAGAGAGCACTAGATCTGCTCTGTAGGACGCAGGGTTTTTAGAAGCTTCTGGACCTTCCAATATTAAGTCTATTGAAGAGACTTTGGTTCCTATTTATCATGTTTTTTCCCTTCCTGGATGGTTTAAGACCAACTTCAAAAGTCTGGGCCAAATTTTGAGTCTTAATTCTTTAAAATTAGGTTGCATCAATTAATCTTCTTTATTTTAATCTGACCAATTTGGAAGTAGGACTTTTTGAATTTGCCTTGCAAATGTATCCAGACTAAGCCAACAGAGGGAAATTTCAACAAAAAAAAAGTAATTGTCAATGACAAACGGAAGGGCTGAGGTTTAGGCCCTGTGTTCCTGTTCAGGCTCAGTGGTTGCTTCTCCAACTCTGCCCTTCTTTGAGTTCATTTCCGTAAACATTAGTCAGTCCCTATAGCTCTGAAGGTGTGGCAGGAGGCATCAGGAGAGGCAAAGATAAATTACAACATGGGCTGTGCACTTAGGTACTTGCAGCACTGAGAACCAGTGGCCAAGTGGACGGTGCTAAGTGCCGTGAGAGCATCTGTTGAGAGTGTTCTGGAATACGGTACAGATGCAGGTTCTTACTATAGTGAGTTATCCCTTATAGGGACTGTTGTTAAGGCAAGTCCAGAAAATTCAGTAAGTGTGGTGACTTGAGGTATCTCATGTCTCGAGGAGATAGCAGGAAACAAAGCATTAGAGGCACAAAATTATTTGGTTGTTGGAAAGCAGGGAAAAGTCAAGAATGGCAAAATGGTGACTTTTGGATTGAGTGATGGGACAAAGAAGGAAAGGTAGCCTGAAGTCCACGTGCTATGAGATGGAGAAGGAGCCTAATTCTGTGCGCCAGAAGTTTTCCACCTGCTTTCTTGGAACCTTAGCTGCCCCTTGGTGCCTCAGGGTGGCACCTGGGCACGAACATGTGTTCATGCGTACACTGTAAGGGGCACAGCCAAGGCACACAAGGGCCTGGGTGCTTCCCTCTGGCTTCAACCAAATAGTGGGCAGCCAAAGATTTTATACTAATACTAAGAAAGGAGAGCTCCTCCCTCCACTCCTCTTGGTGACGTTTGAATACCCCTGCTGCATGCAGATTGGAGCTGGGGGAGAGATTTTTAAGCAGGGGTGACAATCGAATCAGGGATTTAGAAGGAAAGACACAAGGTTGGGTCTGAAGTCAAGAGACCAGGTGGAATATGACCAGCCCGGGCAGTGGCAGTAGCCTGGACGGGAGGCCATGGTTTGGGAGGCAGAGGATGGAAGGAGGAAGCTAACAGGTCCCAGGAGCCCTGGGCTAAGCTGGAGCTGAGGCTCCTGTGGATCTTAGTTGTGGGAGGGTGGGGGCGGGGAGAATGGTAATGAGGACATACAGAGTCCTGCTGGAAAGTCTCAGCCTCCCCACTCATGGTAGCACTGGTTGTCTTTTGTTTTGTTTTAATTTAATCAGGAGTCCATCCTGCAAGCCAGCTCTCAGAGACACTCAAAACATGAAGCATCCAGGGTGTCACAGAACATGGGTGTCTGGAGCTTGGTGCGACACCAAGCTGGATTAAGTGAGGAGGGCCCAGGAAAAGCCCACTGAGCAAAAGCAGGAGTAGACTTGGGGTAGTGGCAGCAGTAAGAGGTGACCAGGAGAGCAGTCCCCAGCAAGAGTGGACAGAGTGTTCAGACATGCAAGAGCAGAGGCAGGAAGGAGGCATCAGGGAAGCCACATGGGGAGGGCGGTCTGGAGGCCGCAGCTGCTCCCTTGCTTACAGTGGAGGTGGAGTAGGATGAACTCCTGGTGCCATTTGCTAGGTCAGTGGCTTGTGGAAGAAGGACCAGAAGCCAAATTTGAGTGAGCTAAAGAGTTAGGGGTACTAGAAAAAGCAAATCGAATTCCAGAGATTTAATTGGGCATAACCAAGAGATTACTGCTCTGCAGAAATGGTGTGGTTTGTATCTTCAACCTGGGAATGTGAAGGTTTCATGGAGCCCTGGGTGGGTTGCGGGGGGGGGGGGGGGATTCCCATGGGAAAAGAATCCTCTTTGGCTGCCAAATAGAAGAAAGCCAGAATTGCAGCCTGCCTAGCCTGGGACAAATGGAAGGGCTGAGGTTTAGGCCCCCACACATCCACGGTGGCCTTCAAATGGCTTTTTTAGCATTCATGTCCAGTTATGAATACTGTACTTTGGTTGACTAAAGGGCTAATAACAGAGAACAGATAACATAGGGCACAGTCCCATCTGGGTGTTCACCCAGCAGGCAGCAACGGCAGCAGCTGATATATCAGAGGAGAATCCTGGAGTTGTTGAGTGTGTTTTGCTCTGGCAGGAAGTTTGGGTGATACAGGAAGAAGCAAGGTCACTTGAGAGAACCAGTGTTTGGGACAGGACACTAGCTTGGGTAGGGTGGGGGAAATGATGAACAGAGGGTTATAAAATTGAGCTGGGGTTGAATAAGAGAAACACTGAAATAGCGCAAATGTGACACCTGTGTTTCCTGAGGGACCCAGCGTTCCCACCTGTTGAAAGAGTGGGATCAGGATGGATGAGGCGCAGGTCCTGAAGGTGGTGGTAAAGGCAGAGGGAGGGTAGGTCAAAGGTGATGAATGGGCAGGGGGTTCACACATGCAGTGATCTGATTCTCACCACCATGATCTTAGCGACAGAACCAAAAGAGAGAGGATTCAGGCAGGTAGTGGTCAACACAGGCAGTGGTCACAGCTGCAGCCTCCCACAGCTAGGGCAAAAGTTTCCTCAACCCTCCACTCCTTTACCTTTCCCCTCACTTCTACAATGGGTGCCTCTCAGATGGGGTGACTGTCTCATGAGTTGACGGTCACTATGTACCATTACGTGGAGTGTCATGACACTGTTCTCAGCAACTAGCCCTGCTGAGGAGGGTCTCTACCTCATGCCTGGTTAGACACCAGCTCTTTGAAGACAGCCAGGGTTTCTCAGCCATTTCAGGGACATCTGGCTGTCAATGGAAGTGGATACTTTTCCACTGTGTTGCCTAAAGGCTTGATCTGACAATGAAAACACTGGTTTTCATTTTCCTACGTAATGTTAGAGTTTGTCTTACCCATGTCTTCTTTCCCACCTTCACATGGGGGTAGAGAGAATTTCAGTATATTCATCTTTAAGTATTTATTAGGGTTGGGGTCAGCACCTTGGCTACTCTGTAATTTTGTCACACAGCCTGATAAGAATATTTATAATTGTGTTGCTTCGATAGAGTTCTATGTATCAAGCTAGATCTTTGTGGACTACCATTTAAGTGATATTAGGAGTTCCTACTGGGCTTTGATGGTCACTGGTAGAAAAGCATAAGCTTCAAACAGAGCCCTATTGGTCTAAACTGGGGTAACAAACTCCTTAGACTGTCTGGGTCTAACTGGGACTCTGTGACATTCAAGGGTTGCCTTGGGTCTCAGATAACCTTGGTCTGAGTTGGGTTTTCTCTCAAGGTATGTGCTGTGATGCCTCCCCTGTAGCAGCATCATAGGTAGGGATTTGCTGATGCAGTTTGGTGAGCTGCAGTCCTTTTCCTCCAGTTTTGTTATGTTTTGTTATTTGCTTTCTCAGACAAAGAGTTCACCGTTCGGCTGGAAACGGACAAGCGACTGCACACGGTGGGTGAGCCGGTGGAGTTTAGGTGCATCTTGGAGGCTCAGAGCATTCCCGACCGTTACTTTGCAGTCTCCTGGGCCTTCAATAGCTCACTCATTGCCAGCATGGGACCCAACGCTGTGCCAGTTCTCAATGGTGAATTCGCCCATCGGGAAGCCAGGGGACAGCTTAAAGTAGCTAAAGAGAGCAACAGTGTCTTTGTGCTGAAAATCTACCACCTCCGCCAGGAGGACAGTGGGAAGTACAACTGTCGTGTGACCGAGCGAGAGAAGACTGTCACTGGGGAATTCATCGACAAGGAGAGCAAGCGTCCCAAAAACATCCCCATCATTGTCCTGCCCCTCAGTAAGTAGAAGCTGCTTGTTTGCCATCCCTTGGTTCCTGGTGCAGTGGCCATTGTCACTTAGGAAGAGAAGAGAGAGAATAGCTGCGGGGAGGGTGGGTAGAACTCAGAGGTAAAGCAGAGCTGGAGAGAGCCTCGTACCTCTGCCTTCTCTACCTCCTCTAGCCCATGGCCCACCCTCAGCAGCTGCAGGTCTGCAGAGAATTGGGGTGTGTCTCTGGCAGGAGATGGTTACCACACACCTGAACTTGAGCAGCTTGGGGTGGACCACCAGGAAGTGGTTCACTCCTCTGTGGGAATTAAGTCCCAGAAGTGGGCAGAGGCCCATCTTGAAATCTCACTTAAGGAGAGTTGATATGTAACAGAGGGGACTTTAAATCATAAAGTGAATTATTAGGGATTGGCTTCCTGGGTTTTTCCAGGCATGAAGGTGGGCCTGTCCTTAATTGTCTCTTGCGTATTGAAATTACATTATTAAAAGTCGGTGGGTGTTACAGCACTTGTCTAGTATGTATCAGGCTCTCAGCCGATCCTGGTACCACAAAATAAAGTGAAATCCGGTGGATGGGATCTCTCAGTGTTCCTGGAGGATGCCTTTGAAAGCTTTGGTGTCTCCAGAGCTGCTTGGGTGTTGTTTGGGAGGGTGGGAGCCCTAGCTGGCACCAGTGTTTGAGCATGTTGTATTTCAGTTTTTGTAGTGTCAAGATGTCTTTATTAATCTCTTCTCTCTCATAGTTCTGTTTTTAGTAAAAAGATAATAAAACTTACAATGCTCTGATTTTAAACAAGTTGGAAAGTTTTAAAACTAACCTTTAACCTTTTCTCAGCTGCCAAGACTGTTCTTTCTCTTAGCCTTGAAATGATTCCCTGTATACTTTTATTTACACTTTTATATATGTTTAAGATAATTTCTCTTTAAGTGTGAAGTCAAAAATAGACACAGCAGGCTTGCCACTATTCTTTCTTTTTCTCATAGCAGGATTATTTCCTATGATGCATATTATTTTTTGAACACACACACACACACACACACACATACACACACACACCCCACCTTGTGATCTTGAACTTTTGTTTCTTTCACCGTTCCCCTTAATGCCGAGCATGATGCCTTGCACAGAGTAGTGCTTGCTAAGTATTTGTACAATTGAAATAGTCAAGTTGGATGCCCCGTTCTTTATTGTCTTCCTGTCAATCTGTGCTTGCCTTAACCACGGATTCTCTACTTTTAAGTCTGCAACTAATTCCTCCTTGTTTTGTAAGGACAGAGTGAAGGGCAGCTATGCTGTTTGCTTCCCTCTATCTTTTGTACTAAAAGATTTCCCCCAGCCCCTTCCAAGAACTTGTTTGATGATCTGTGGCCTGCTATATTGCTTTTCCAGCAGATAACTGGGTAGTTAAAGTCCCCCAGCACCACCAGATCCTGCCCCAAGGCCACTTGGGTAAGTCTACCAAAGATCGACAATAGTCACATCGGTAATGATGATTATACCTTGGGTTTTAATGGCGCCTTTCCTCCCAAGTGCCCAACGTGCTTCTGCATAAATTATATTCGTCTCTGCTCCTACCTCTCCAGTCCCTGAGAGGCCAACGTCACATCTGTCCTATGAATGAAGATCTCAGAGTAGCGCAGAGACACTACTGAGCCTGCTGTCCAGTTACGGGTCGAGCTCGTGTTGCATTTAGAAATGTTTGCTTCTAACTCCAAATCCATTGCTCTGCGCTTAGCCTGTGCTCCACCGTCAGCCTCCTGATTTGAAATTTCCTTTGTGAGCATCCACTCAGATTCTCATTAGTTCTGTCCCAGTTTTCATGTAATCCAGAGAATCTTACCTTGTTGGCTGCCCTTGTACAGACCTGAGAACCCTTGTAAAGAGTCATACATGCAGTGCAGCACCAGGTTTGTGCCTGTGCCTTGGCTTTTTCCAGGTTTGCTCCAAAGGGCTTCCCTTATGATAAACAAGCCAGAACTTCGTAAGAGTCCCTTGGGGTGAGAGTAGGAGATAGGAGTATTGTCCTACTTCTGCTTAAGACAAGCAAAAGGATTTTCTCCCTTGATGCTGAAGTTGCCCTTTTAAACCTTTTTTTTTTAAAAATTGGTGACAGATGGGATGAGTCTTTACCTAATGAGGAATATCATTAATGATACTGAAAAATAAATACTTCGTCTGATCCTCTCAGTGGCCCGCTCCCGAGAAGCAGGCACTAGTCCTATTTCCATTGTGCATGCACAAAATTGAAGTTTGGACAGATTAAAGAAGAATCCAAAATGACAGAGTTAGTAAGTAATGAACTGGACTCCACAACTGTTCTTTTAACCATGAGCGCTGGAGACCATGGCTCTGCCAGAGCCTCCATGAACCATCTTGGTAGGACTCCTGGGGCAGGTTGCCCTCCTGGAAAATTGTCCGCCACCCCCCCACCACACTTATCCAGACTTTTTTTTTGTGAAACAAGCAAATCCAGACTGATAGCAAGCACACTCTCTACACCAAGAGCTAAATGCTGAGGCTTGGCGCTTGTCTGTGTCTGATTCTGCCTATGGGGAAAATAAAGGGGAGAAAAGATTGATTCAAAGCTTTGTTATGTGTATGTGTGTGCTTCCCTCAGTAATTGGGTGCGCATCTTAATTTGGGATTTGATTGAATTGATTGGTTTAAGGTTACTGTACATGTTTCATGAGTTAAGTGGTGCCCAGAAAATTGGAGCCAAATTAGTTGTGGCACTATACCTTGTGTTGTTTAATACTTATGGGTCTTTTGAACTCAATATAGGTAATTATACAAAATAATTTATATGTATATATTAAGATATCCATGCTGTTTATACTGAGTTATTAGGAATAGTAAAATTAATCGTGACTGTCATGACTGCTTTTTGAAAACATAGGTGATGTATATACATTGTCTCATTTACTGTTTAACCTTTTTTTACAATAAAAGGTAGCCTTCTACCTATCATATACAGAAGAAGAAACAAGGTATACGGAATTTCCATAATTCCATTGAGTGAAGTGAAGCTAGTCGAGTGAATGGGCTAGTTAGACTGAGATGAGGAAGGGAGTGGAATCTTTATCCCAAACTCTGCTTGTCAGAGTGTTTCAGGGTAGGGAGCAGAGGAACCCCAGTGCTGAGTGAGGAGAGGCAGAAGGATGGTGGATGGCGAGCTGCCGGCTTGGGTGTGTTCCTCTGTGTTACTGAAAGTATGAAAGCTTTCTCCCCTTGCACTCTGCAAAAGTACGCTATCTGTGCTCCATTTTCATCCACACTCAAGCACACACCATCTTCTAAATACTTCCTGGTTTTTTTCCTACTTCCTATTATTACCCTGAAGACCCCAAATGATACATTCTAGAGGTTCAGCTTTTATTTGACTGCTGTCACCCTGAATGATGGGAAATAGGGCTGGAGCAAGATTTGGGAGTTTTCATCTTGCTGAAACTCCAATTTGAAAGCCCTGAACTCCAGCTAAACAGCTTACCCCATATATGGTGTTATACCCTAAATGTCATGTCATTGTATTGTATTTCTTAAGTTCTACTTAATTTTCAAGTTTTAGGACCTCATTATCCCAGTCCTCTGGTTCCATGCTCCAGAGTGATAGTCAGCAATGCCCAGAACCAGGCAGACCTTATTGCAGCAAGTGTCAGTGTGGTTTATTTATTGTTTTTATTCTCTGAGTTCACTGTCCCCAAACACAGTTCCATTTGCACCCCTCTTCCTGTAGCATCCATGGGGGGGGCACCTGGGAGACCATAAAGCCCCCAGCGTGGCACTCTCTCCTTTCCCCAGAGAGCAGCATCTCCGTGGAGGTGGCCAGCAATGCCAGCGTCATCCTCGAGGGAGAGGATCTGCACTTCTCCTGCAGCGTCCGCACGGCAGCCAGGCTGCAGGGCCGCTTCTCTGTCATCTGGCAGCTTGTGGACAGGCAGAACCGTCACAGCAATATCATGTGGCTAGACCGGGATGGGACTCTGCAGCCAGGCTCATCTTACTGGGAGCGCAGCAGCTTTGGGGGTATCCAGATGGAGCAGGTACAGCCCAACTCTTTCAGCTTGGCCATCTTCAACAGCAGGAAGGAGGACGAGGGCCAGTATGAATGTCACGTGACCGAGTGGGTCCGGGCGGTGGACGGCGAGTGGCAGATCGTGGGGGAGCGTCGAGCCAGCACTCTCGTCTCTATCACAGCTCTTGGTGAGTGGTGGCACTGTTACAGAGGCTGACTTTATCAGGGAAGGGTTCTGCCAGGAACCGATGGCATCTTCCAAAGTTCCATTGAAGGGACTTTTTAGGGAATTGTAGATGGGATGGGGAAAAATGACAGTGGGCAGTAGGGCATCCAGGGCAAGTAACTCCTAGGGTAGCCGTGGGGAGTGATGCTCTAGCCAGGTGACCCCCCCCCCATCCTCACCCAGCAGGAGCATGGTCACTGTTCCCATTGAGTGACTGAGTACTGCAGCACATCTCCAGCCCTTCTGAAGGGGCCTTCCCATTGCCATTCAGCATTACTGTGTCTGACTGAATCCTCACCTAGCCAAGAGGCAGTAGTTACTTTCCTCTTATAAGGCAATAAAGACAAAAACAAGCAAACTAATTTGCCCAAGTTTACACCTTTTAAATGACCAAGCCAGAGTCTGAACCCAGGACACCGGCACTCCATCTTAATGTTTTTATCTACACCTCTGTAAGGCCCCTTACTTAAAGAACCCATTTCCTTATTAGCACAAAATGAAAAGATACCTTGAGATTTGCTAAAACCGAAGGATATTAGATTTGTTTCTCATGGGGTAGTGAAAGAGGCTTCTGTCAACTTTTATCTGCCAAATATAATCAGTATATTAAAATTTAAAAAGACCCATCTGCTACTTTGCTGGGAAGATAACTTGTCATGTCAGATCTTTTGTTTATCAGGCGTTCATATCAGTTACCCCAGCAACTTCACAACTCCGAGTGGGACTATGTCACTACCTTCCCATGCTGGTGGCGCTGTCAGAAGACCCAGTAAAGATGGCAGAGACCAAGTCGTCCACTTTCCCACTCTTCTGAGATTGGGATTACATTTGCTTTCTGAAAACTGAATCCCAAAGATGCACTTGCTTCCTGCTATAATCATATAGTTCAGATTTCATGATCCATATCCCTCCCTGGTGGTTCCGACACCGAGCTCGGGTGGCTTAGTAGCTTTTATCCTCGGATCCTGGGGCCAGCTCTGCCCCTCCTCCCCTTCCCTCTCCCAGGATGCCTCTGGCTAAAGTCATAAATCAGGATGGCCCTAGGGGTGCACCAGGGATGAGTGTGAGGAAACCCTGGACTGAGGTTGTCTTTTCCATCAAAAATAAACAACTGCAGGCTGGTGAATAACTCAGGCCTGGGATCCTAGTGACTTGGAGGTGGAGATAGGGAGGAGTGTGGTTTGAAGCCATTCTACGTAAAAAGTTAATGAGACCCCATTTCACCTAATAAAAAGCTGGGTGTGGTGATGAGCACCTGTCATCCCAGCTACACAGAAAGCATAAATAGGAGGATTACAGGCCAAGCCAGGCCTGGCCTAAGCACAGGACCCTGGTAAAAATTAACTAAAGCTAAAAGGGCTGGCAGCATGGTTCATGTGAAAGAGCAGCTGCCTAGCAAGTGCAATGGGGCCCTGAGTTTAAACCCCAGTTATGCAAAAGTAACTAACTAGATAAATAATTTATTAAATAAATTAACAGCAGTGATGCACACAGATTTTCCTGTCAGTACAGATAGGTAGGGATAGGCTCTCAGCAAGTAGGCAACAGCAACAAGGTAGGTAGAAGTGATAATAGAACATCTTCCAGATGCTCAGGGATCATATGACTGCTCAGGTAGGGCAGTTGGGACACCACTGAGTGCTGTGGTCTGTGACCATGGCGTGTGCCCATGTCAGGCCATGACAGCCATTTGCTTGGAGGAGCTGCCTCCCCTTCAGGTGTGAGGCCCGAAAGGTCCTCTGTGGGTCCTGTCCCCCGAGTTCCTGTTCTACACTGCTCATAGCAGCTCGTGCTACACACAGGTGCGCAGTGAGTGTGAGCTGTTTAGTTTAATTTGAACCTTTTTCAGGGATCTGCTTTATGAAATCCAAATTGATTCAGTTTTCAGCAATTTTTGCCTACCTATTTACAGGCAAACTCCCAAAAATTCATTCTGGGTCTGATCTTTCACCTGTAGAGTTTTAAGTGCTTTCATTTATGTCTATTTTGTTAGGACAAAATACATATTTAACAAAATCTGTACCACGTGCCAGACAAATACTCATTCATTTAATCTTCACATCTGTAATCTTCAGTTACAGATGGGGAAACAGAGTTAGAGAGCAGTTAGGTAATTTGCTTGATATTACACAGCTAGGAAGTAATGCAGCCGGACAGCTGGCTCCAGGTCTGTCTTATGCCTCCATGGGCAAAGCAGTCTCAGAAAAGCCCTGGAGTTGGATCCTTGCAGCTTTGGATCCTAACTCTGCCAGTGCTAGCACCTCACTTATTAGACCTCTCAACGCTGCAAAAAGGGCCGATCAGCCTTCCTGTCCTACAAGGTTGTTTGGTTTAGTGAAATGTGGTAAGAACAGAGCAGTTGACCCCATGCCTGGCACCGGGTTGTGCTCAATTAATACCAGCTGCCGTCACCTTTAAGGTTATGATCAAGGCACTAATGTGAAATAGTATTTCCAGACTGAAGAGATTTCAGGGCAATCATAGTGAGGAGCGAGTGTTGGGGTTGGTGATCATACCCATTCAATAAGGAATATTGAGAGACTCATGTTCCACCAGGACTGCAGAACCTGAATTTAGGACTGTTGTCCACCCTATCTGCTGAAGATCAGTCCCTTCTGCTTTGGGTCTCTCACTGCCTCTCTACCCCTGATTGTGTGGAGGAAGTAGTGGAGAACCTGGTGGCTCCTGGGGTACCATACATTAAAGGGGCAGGTGTGTGGGTGTATCCTCTCACGTGAAGTGAGGGAGGTTGGTATGGGGCTTTTTTCTCCTGCTTTTATGTGGAATCCTGGGCTTTTGAAGAATAGTTTACATGGAATCAGCCCCTTAGAGGGCTCTGGTGTCTAATTTAGAAGAGGATCTGCCACAGATCCACACAAGGGTCTCACTGGGAGAGTGTGGGCTGGGCTGGTGCAGCACAGGGAGAAATGCGTTGGGCCTCTGTGTGGGCTCTTGGAAGCTGTTGGGTTGTACCTCAGCGTGAAACCTAAAGTAAGGGGGCCTGCCTGTGAAAAGAAAGCTCACAGAGACTGGCAGCCTCTCCATACTTGCTTTGCCAGTAGACTCCCTGGCCAATGTCACCCTGCCCTAGAAAAGTCTCTTCAGGTGCCTCTTCTGGTTGACTCTCTCTGCTCTCTCCAGAAACGGGCTTTGCGGTCACAGCCATCTCCCGGACACCAGGTGTGACCTACAGTGACTCCTTTGACCTGCAGTGCATCATCAAACCCCACTATCCCGCCCGAGTCCCTGTGTCAGTGACATGGCGATTCCAGCCTGTAGGCACCATTGAGTTCCATGACCTGGTGACCTTCACACGGGATGGAGGTGTCCAGTGGGGGGGCAGGTCTTCCACCTTCAGAACTCGGACTGCCATCGAGAAGGCGGAAGCCAGCAACAACGTCCGTCTGAGCATTAGCAGGGCCAGTGACACGGAGGCAGGCAAGTACCAGTGTGTGGCAGAGCTGTGGCGGAAGAACTACAACAACACGTGGACGCGGCTGGCGGAGAGGACTTCCAACCTGCTGGAGATCCGGGTGCTACAGCCAGGTACGTGCCATCGGCTCAGAGGCCTCGCCGTGCAGACTTGTGGGTTGTGCGCTTACGGATATGAGACGTGGGAGGAGGTGTGCTTCCATGATAACGAGACATGGGAGAATACGTGCTTACGTGACATGGAACGTGAGGGCGTGCACTTACACGTGAGACACGCGAGGACGTGTGTCTATATGACATGAGACACGGAAAGATGTATGCTTCATGATGTAGGGAGACGCAGGAAGTTGTGTGTTTGCATGCCACGAGACACACAAGGATGCCTGCTTTCATAAGATGTGAGGCTGTGCTTACATGACATGAGACGCACGAGCACGTGTGCCTAGGTGACGGAGAGACAAGAAAAGCATGTATTGAGCTCCATCACAGCGTCTTGTTTCGGAGCTCCTCATTTTGAGAAGTTTCAGATCAAAAGGACATGGTGAGAGTTGTACAGTCAGCACTTGCAGCCCCTTTGCTTGATCGCTGGCTGCTATTGACTCTCCCTCCTGTGTCTTTGTTGTGTTTGAACCCCTGAGAGTAAGTGCTGGACATGAGGACACGTCTCCTCAATACGCCATCATGGAACCCCTAAGAAGGGGACACTGTCCCAGCCACCCACAACACCATATCACACTCTGAGAAGTCAACATTCGTACAGGCCCATTAGCTCCATTTCCCCAGCCACCCTAACAAGACCTTTTATAATGGCTTTTGCTCTTCCCATCCAGGCTCAACTGGGGAGCACATTTCCCATTACTTGTCCTGACTCTTTGCACTCCTTTAGTCTAGAACCTTCCCTAACTTGTATGTGGGTTTGTGTTAAGACACTGACACTTGTGAAGTGTGTACACCAGTTGTTTTGTTACCTCACTTCATCTCTTGCAGTTCTTGCAACAGTTCTGTGAAAGACGTTGCACTGTCTCTGTGTGTGGACAAGGGGACCGAGAGGGGAAAGGAAAAGTCAGTGGCTTTGTCCAGTATCTGCTTTGTGCTGGGTGCCGAAGGGGAGTTATTTTATTAGCGTTCACAGCCCAGGAAGGATTAAGAGACTAGCCTAAGGTGCGTAGCCAGGCAGTGGTGGAACCAGGATTTGAAACTTGGGATCTTTCTAGACCCAGGTCCTGTCATGTGGGCCAAGTGTGAGTTCCTTTCTCCTGTGGAATCTGAGTCACTGTCTCAAAGCAGAAGATGAGGTGGCACAAATGTGTGGAGTGTTAGTGGGGCTTTCTGCCAACACCTCCATCAGGTACTGCCACTAGCTTGTGGAAGCAGTCTGGTGTGAACTGCTTAGGTTTTTCCCTGGGTCTGTCCTTGTTGCCTGCTGGGTTAGAGACTGATAAATTGAGAGCCCTCTTGCTCAGCCTGTGTGCAGTATAGAACAGGTACCTGCACGGGCAATGGTGAGGGTTGCACCTTGCAGAAACTTCTTTTTCTGAACTCCTTGCAAAAAGTATTTCTTTTTTCCGTGCCTGCTCACACCTATGATTAGTACCCATCCTGGCCCCCTAGCCAACTTCAGATGGCCACAAGTTTGTTTTCAGCAATGTAAGGTTAAATAACAAAAATGTCTGACTTTGTCCTTCCCCTCTCTCACCCTATAACAGAGGCCTTTTTAGTACTAGATTGAGAATAAGCGAGTTGTATAAACGATGAGGCTGTTCCTTGGCCAATTAGAGCCTGAACTTGGGCCGCCAGGATGCTCAGGGAAGAGGCAGTGCTTGAGTGGATGTTAAGGTTAATGGAAGGCTGAGCAGAGATGCCATTTGAAGGGAACCCTTGTTATGAAGATGCTGAGGCACGCCCTTGCCTGCCTCACTGAGTAGAGCATTGGGACTGTAATTGTGCTTTTTGTTGTCTCCTCTGTCACTCAGGGTCGGTGTTCTGAGCAGCAGTGCCTGTCACATGGTTCTGCAGCTGGAGGAGGTAGAGGAGATACCCTGAGACTCTGCCTGTCATTGCCTCTTTGGATAAACCCTTAATATCTGCTTGGAGTCTAAGACCACAGCACCTAAAGGACAAATATGGAATTAGTTCATTGAAAGTTCTCGTTACTTGAATTTTGATTAGTTTATGTTGGGACTTTAGGCAAACATGGACAGAAATCCTACAAAGTGCCCTTGGGTGTTAAACTCTGTGCTCAGTACTTACATTTCATTTCTAAATTCATCCCACAATCTGGTCACATGGATGATTGCTCCCCCAGTTTGCTAACGAAGAACCCAAGGCTCATGGTGTTTCAGAGCCTCGGCCAACAACCTAAGGACAGAACTGAGACTTGAGTTAAAGTTGGAATGCAGGTCCCTCTGACAGCGTACATCTCCATTCTCCATTATGCTGTATTGCATTAGTTACTTTTGCATAGCCAGACCAAAAAAACAGAGGGAACAACTTGAAAGGAGAAATTCCTTACTTTGGCTCATGGTTTCATAGGGTTCAGCCCATGGCAGCTTGGCCCCGTGCCCATGATGGGGGGTAGAGCGTGATGGCGGCAGTGGCTTTCGGAGGAATAGACTCTTCACCTCACAGCAGAGAGGAAGGCCTTGGAGACAGGTATAGCCTTCAAGGCACGCCCCCAGTGACGTACTTTCCCCAGCAAGGCCCCACCTCCTGAAGTTTCCAGAGCCTCCCAGAACAGTGCTACCAGCTGGTACCAACCACTCAACACATGAACCCGTGAGGGTCACTTTGTGTTCAAACCATAACAGATATTATCGCCTCCTGGTAGAGAATCACTGGAGGCTTGGGATATCCAGGATCTTCTCCAAGGACGGTCTTGATATCTTTGTACGTCGTGTTATTTCTGTTTGCATTTTCACTGAGAAGTGCGATCAGGCAGCGGCTGGCTCTGGGGACTTAGATGCATCCCTGGACTGGGGCTGTCCTGAGGCCTCTGCTTAAAGGTGCACAGTAATGCACTCTCCTGGCCCTCTGGAGGCTGCGAAGAGCACAGAGAGGTGCCCGAGGCCGCACATGACTCCCAGGGTGGCTGGAGCACCAGGGAAAGTGCATTCCCCTTAAGTGTTGCTCTCTTCTCTATAAAATATTTATGCATTTAGCACTTAATATTTTCCAAGAAGCTTCACGTTCCTTCTTCTCTTTTCCCTAAATGCACTGGTCGGTACTGGTTCCTTTATTGGGGGAAAACTACCTGAGGACTAACTGTGTGCTGGAGACAGTAGGGAACACTAGTGCATTATTTCACTAAGTCCTCACTACACCTCTGTGAGGAAGGTATGCTATTCCCATTTCATAAGTATCAGAGGTTCCAAGAGGTGCTAACTTGCCCACCTCAGATGAGCAGTGAGTGGGGAGGTTAGGATTTGAACCTAGGTGTACCTTATTGAAAAAGCAGTTGGGGTGAGGAGACTTTAATCTTTTTTTTGAGGTCATACAGTTAGAAATTACTCCTTTTTGTGTTTTCCTTTTTTTTGGTGGTGGTATTGGGATTTGAACTCAGGCCTTGCACTTGCTAGGCGAGCACTCTACCAATTGAACCACGCCCTTAGCCCCCAGAAATAATTCCTTTTGCATTCAGCTCATGGCATCCTTTACAAAAGAGGGTTTCTCCTTGTAGGTCACTGGTGTGGATGAGTTCTCTACACTAGTTACCACTAGTGACTAGTGGTAACCATGGCAACACCAACTGCAGCTGATATTTTTTGGGCATTTCCTATGTGGCCGTCACCATCCTGAATGCTTCCCATCTAATATCTTAGTTCTTCCTTAGTCAGTGAAGTGTGGGGTGGGGCGGGCAGACAACACTGCTCTCCTCCATTTATGTGTGGGGATACTGCCAGAAGGCAAATAAGTTGCCCAGTGATCCATAATAAATGGTGCAGCAGAATTCAAATCTGGACAGGCAGTCTGGCCCCAGAGTCCAAGCCCTTAATTTTATTATAATTATTTTACAATTATAATTATTATATAAGTTTGTTATATTTATTTTTATTACATTTATTTTCTAGGCAAAGTACATATTTTTACTTATTTACTTAATTTTAAAATCAGGAGTCCTTTGGTGCACGTGCACACACTGGGGATTTTGCACCCAGGGCCTCGTGCACGCTAGGCAAACACTCTGCACCCATCCACACTGCAGCACACATGTTTTTAATTAATGTATCTTCTCCCTGTTTACCACACTGATTTGCTGATCCTTCGTTTTGCTTTGTAGAAGTTGGGGTTGCAAAGTACATAAATAGGTCCTAGTCCCTCAAGACACAGGCTTCTGATGGCATTAAAGGTTCATTTGAGCTTGTTCAAATTCCTTTATTTCTTCTAACTTCTGCCACAAGGTGGCACTAGGACCTGGGGATAGCAGAGTCCCCAGCCAGTGCCAGCCTCTTTCCTTCTACCCTGCATGTATAGCTTGCCCCTTCAAGCATGGACTCAGCCCCGTGCTAGCATTTTCCAAAATAATGTCCTCCCCCTCCCACTCTCCCATTTAAAGAGTATTTTGTCAAATATTCTAAGAGAATCAAATAGAAACCCAGGGACTACTGACTTAACTCAGGCTTCCCCTCTACAATGTCACTTCTAGCAAGCCTCGGTGTGATGCGTGTGGTCTGTGCCCAGGCCAGTCCCTGCCAGAGCCACCTGGTATTTGACTCCTCAAGCCCTGTGGTTAGATGGCACAGTCAGCTTGCTGTAGATGTTTGTCATTCCCTGGTCACGTGTCCAACTCCATCTGCACATCCCTGAGCAATCCTCGAGGAATAAACGCTTCTCCCTTTCTGTCCTTTATTTAGCTTCTCCTGGCTCCCACTGATCATATCGTCTGATCCCCAGGGTGCATTTAGGCAAGACTTGTAGCCAGTTCAACATTCTTAATCAGTTCTTTTTCTTTAATTGTGAAGCATCACCTTGTTTCTTTCTGATTCCCTTTAGCTCCAAAAACACTGTCCAGTTACCGCTAAATACAGAAGCCATAAGAGAAATGTCAGCACTCATTTTCCAAATGTTTATGACCCTGTCTTGGTCTGGCTATTAAATATTGTACATTAAAATTGACA